CTCTGTGAAGGAGGGCAAGACCTTCAACAAGATGGACTGACATAGTGACTGCAGCAATGGGTTTGAGTATGTAAAAAATAAAGTTGGTGCAGCATAAGACAGGCGTCAGATCTGTTGTTCACAGGGCCACTAGCAGCTGTACTCAATGAGATACATAATTAACAACCTTAAGTGTTTAATAATGCTTTGTTAGATACTTTAAAATCATGAATGGCAAAAGACAAAAAATATAATTAAAAGTGTGCATCAAAAGAGTTGGTCAAAAAGATACAAGATAACCTACAGAATGAGAGAAAATACAGTGAAACTGTGTCAGAACTCAGTTGGACAGACTTGTTTCTCTGAGTCTGGCCAGTTTTCTGCCTTTAATAGGATCCAGCCTCACCACTTTTTATGTTATTAACTTTCGTATAAAATATGTGATTTGTCTTTCTCACACAGGTCCCAGCTTTGATATGTTTTGGGGACTCATTTATCTCCTAAGGGTTTATTATCTAGGAAAAAAAATATAGAAAAAGAACATGTACCACTCAATACAGACAAATGGATAATTTTAAAAATGGGCAGAAATGCAAGATACAGGCCTAGTGCTGCTTCTTTAAAGATGACACCATGAAAGCCCTATGACACAGTTCCACACAGGCACAGGGGGGTCACTGTGAGTCTAAAAGTGCCTCAATGGCACCTAAGAACGCGTGTAGGCCTAAAAGGCTGGAAAGCAGGACACACTTTCTTTTATATCAGTGCTTACTGCATTATTATTCATAATAGCCCAAAGCTGGGAGGCAATCAGATGCTCAGCAATGGACACATGGATAAAGAAAATGAAATATTACTCAGTCAAAAAAAAGAAACGTTTTCATAAATGCCACGATATAGGTAGAACATGGTAGATACAAAAGGCCAAATACTGTACGATTCCAATTATAGGACCTATCTAGAACACAATGGTTACGAGGGGTAGATGGGAGGTGGGGCAGAGGAGCTAATGGTGAAGCATTAAGAGTGCCTGCTAGGGAGCTCTGGTGGCCTAGTGGCAAGACGCTGCACTGCAATCCCAGAGGTACATGGTTCAAATCCACTGGATGCTCTGCTGGAGAAGGAGGGGGCAATCTCCTCCTGTACCAGTCAGATCTGATTTGATGGTACACATAAAAACAATACAATAAAAATAAAAAAAAATTTAAGTTTTTTTTTAAAGAATGCCTGATAAGGGTGATGAAGAAACATGGAAATTGACAGTGATGGTTGTCCAGCACGGTAATTAATGTTCATGAACTGTGTAAGTAAAAATGGCACAAATACGATTTCTTTTTATGTTCATTTTCACATATGCCTGCAAAGACAGTGTTAATGATATTATTAAAAATAAAGTGGTGTATAAGACCATTTTTATACACATAGATAACAAGTAAAACATGTATTAAGATCTAAGGGGGGACCAGAGGGGTGGGGATGGGTGGGGAGGTAATCATGGGGTCACATGGTTTGACGGGTAGAAGTGGGGGTGGTTGGGGGGGGAGATCTGGTGTGAAGGGCAATGTGTATATACTTTGTAGCTAAACCAGTGTAAAATTAAAAAAAAAAAAGAAAAAAACTCAGATACCTTATAGCATAAAGTGCTACAAGACTGAATCTCACATTGCATTTCTCTAAGAATTTAGAACAATAAAAGATAAATAATGGGGGGGGGGGAGTGCTTTCTTGTTCTGCGTGTATAAATGAAGAGCAGGATATTTAGGTATATGGAGATACTGAGAGGATTTGATGGTTGTTATGTGCCACTGAGTCAACAAACTCACAGGCAGCCTGTGAACAAGAGATCAGAACTGTGCCCCACTCGTGCCATCCTCATGGTCCTCAATCTGCTCCAGCTCCTCTTACAGTCACTCCGTCAATCCATCTCGTTGAAAGTCTTCCTCCTTCTCTCTGACCCTTTACCTTGCCCCACATGATGCCTTCTTCCAAGGACTGGCCCCACCTGACAACATGCGTAGAGTATGTGAGATGACAGAGCGGGTTTTCAGAGAAGTAATTGCACCACTGGACCAATTGGCAGCATCAGGATGGATGGTGAAGAGATTGAGATTACTGTTCACAGCTTTAGTTTGCATGGCTTCATGGTCAACACTCTTGGCAACAGCAGCCAGCAAATTACAAGACGTACTGCGATGGGAAAGTCTGCTGTTAGGGACCTCTCCAGAGTACTGAAGAGCAATGCTGTCACTCTGGAGACTAAGGTGCGTCTGATACAAGCCATGGTCTTTGCTATCACTTGTTATGCATCAGAGAGTTGGACAATGACCGAGGAGGATAGAAGGAGAATTGATGCCTTTGAGCTGTGGTGCTGGAGAACAGTATTGAGAATACCATGGACTGCTAGGAAAACAAACAGATTCATCCTAGAAAGGGTTAAACCAGGCGGCTCCTTGGAGGAAAGGATTCTGAGGCTCCATCTGACATACTTTGGACATGTTTTAAGGACGGACTGGTCCTTGGAGAGGGACATCATGCTTGGGAGGATGGGGGGACAGCGCAAGGGGGGAAGGCCCTCTGTGAGGGGATTGATTCAGTGACTGGGGTAATTGGGATGGGTGTGTCAGAAACAGTGCGATTGGCACAGGGCAGAGCTGAGTTTAGGGATGTTGTACACAGGGTCGTTATGAGTCGCAGATGACTCGATGGCACGTAACAACAACAAACAACAATACTGAACTTAGGTTACACTAATTTACAGAAACTAACTCCCAGTTGAGGAATGATAGTGTGTTAAGAGTGGGCTTTTAAGTTAACTGGATCTGGATCATCTTACGCATATGAATGGAGGAGGGGACACAGGACTGCAAACACAGCAACAAAATCACATACATTTAAAGTATTTTAAGAGATTATGTTAATGGCATTGGCGTTTCCAACAATTTCTCAGATTTAAATTTAGACACTTTAAATGTGTTCCTTAGGGTCTGCAAAGCTGTGACATCCCACTAGCAAATCACCATGCCAATAATTCAAGGGACATCTGGGTGGGTTAAAACCACCAACCTTTCCACTAAGTAACCTTAACCTTTTCCAGAGTCTTCCTACTTGGGTTTTGTTGTTTTTGTGTTTGGTTTTTTTTACTTTGTAAAATAATACAAAGCAAAGATAAGTCTTTTTGCAACATTGTAGTTGCAAATGTGTAGCTGATCATGGTAGAATCTGTCCACCTATTTAGTTTTATAACATTTGGCTCCCATTTGTAGTTATTCCTAATATTTGCTGTTATATGCAGTTTTTGCCCCAAGAAGCCTTCAATTGTTGAAGTATGGCTCACTGGTACTAAAAAAATGTGCTTCAACCAACCACCTCCGATCCAGCACAGATCACACACAATGAGTGTGCGACTCTCTCACTGCCTAAATTAAGCTTGTTCAGCAACCTCACATTTTACAGCAGAAGCTGGCTATGTTTCTCATTCAACCAAGATGAACATTTATTCCTTACAAAGAAATTCCTGGAAACATTCCTATTAAGTATTTTCCTTCTGAATTATTGTAAATACAGACCTAAATAAACACTAAGGAGTTCTAGTGGTTGAGTTGAAAGGTGTTGCACTGCCAACCCAAAGGCATGCAGTTCGAATCCACCAACTGCTCTGCAGGAGACAGATGGGCAATTTCTTCTCTTGCAATTTACTGCCTTCTGAAAATCCACTGGAAGGTCGGCTATGAGTCTGTTCTGACTCCACAGTACATAATGAAATATGCATTATGGAGCTCTGGTGTCCAGGTGGATAGATAAGGAGCTGTCCTGCCAACCCAAAAGCCTGAGTTTTGAATCAACCACTTGCTTGCAGGACAAAGACGGGCAATCTCTTCCCAGGCCTCTCAACTTACAGCCTCTGAAAATCCTCCGGAGGGTTTGCTACAAGTCAGTTCCAACTCAATCACACATAATAATATACACTAATTTCAAACTCATTTCTTAATTCATCGTGCACATCTATAACTTTTAAAGGAGGGGATACAGACTTCCTTATCATCTTAATTTTTAAAAATGGCAAGCAATACTGACAAAAGTCCCGCCTGATCAAACACAGAATGTAAAACTCTCAAAATCCCTCCAAAAAACCTTGTCACTATCGAGTTGGGCCAGAGTCACAGCTGAGCCTCCAAAGGGTTGCGGAGACTGTTCATCGCTCAGAGCGAGATTGCCCATCTTTCTGTTTCCGCTGCTGGTGGATTCAAACCTCAGCCTCGGTTTTAGCAGCAGGACTACGCCACCAGAGCTCCCTACAGAAAAGAAAGTGGATCATTTTCTTAGGCAGAGAAATCGTGATCAATACTGTGTGGTGAGGTGCCTCGAGTCGCCCCTCGGGGTGCCCCGACACCCAGCGACCAAGAGAACAGCACAGAACGCAGGCCGGCGCCATCCCACCCCGAGGCTCTGCTGTCTGTGCCTTGAAATGAGGATAGACTTGGATTTGAGTTCAGACCCTACGTTTATCAGATCTGTCCACTGGCAAGCGATTCCATTTCTCAAAGGCTTTTCTAATACTCTGCAAAGAGCCAAAATCGTGCTCTGCGAATAAAGGTGGCGTAGTACACCGAGGATCCAGAGCCTGGTCCTCCTGAAATAAATGGTCAATAAAGACTCGGACAGAGCGTGATGGAGGCCAGAGGGGAGGAGGAGGGAGGGAGGGAGAGAGAGAGAGTGAGAGTGTGAGTGTGTGTGTGTGTTCAGGAGCGGTGGGCGATGAGGCTCAAGAGGCTGGATTATAAAAAAGTAAAGAAAGAAAACAGGGAGCCCAGCAGCCGCGGGGGGTCGGGTGGGAGCAGGACGTCTCCGACTCGGGCTAATTCCCCTGAACATCCACGGAGTCCGGGGCTGAATTTTTTTACAAATGCCCAGTTGACGGTGACGATCCGAGAACCAAGTTTCAGTTTACCGAGGCTGATTCGCACAATGTTTCCCTTCGGGGCCCCAAGAGAGAGACACACACACAGCTCACCCCCACCTACTCGGCGGTCCGGAGAAGGCAGCTGCGGCCGGTGGGTCGGGATCGCGCAAGACTCGGCAGCGGCCGTGCAGGCGGCGACGGCGGAGGCGGACGACGTCCCGAGGCTCTGGGAGGGCGGACAGGGCGGGAGTTTGTGCAGGCGAGCGGGCGCAGGGCCGAGGACCTCAGGACAGGAGCCTGCGAAGCCACCCGCTAGCGGATCAAGCCCACTGACGACAGAGGTAACACGCATAGGCGGGTATTGTGACGGGGGAGGGGGGGGAAAAGACGCGCACTTCCGCTTCCGGTCACTGCGCCGCTTGGTGTCTCTGCGGAAAGGACACGTGCGGGGTCCGAGAGTGCTGTGGCTGGTGACCGAGTTGTTTAGAGCCCCCCCCTCTTTTTGGGATCTAAACACAGCTGCCCTCCATAGAGTCTGTTATTTTTGTGACTTTTTAAAAAATCACATATAGGTTTTATTTGTTTGTTTTTACAGAGACATAGAGTAGATTTGACTGATGATGTGTCCTGTCTTCATACCTTTTCAACTTGTATGCAGAACAGATTATCCGGGAGGCTGGGCTCTATGAGGAGAAATGTGAGGTCAAGATTGGTGGAAGATCTATCAACAATCTGCGATATGCAGATGATACAACCCTGCTTGCTGAAACTGAGGAGGACCTGAAGCGTCTGCTGCAGAGTGTCAAGGACTGCAGCCTCCAATATGGATTGAGGCTCAATGTCAAGAAGACAAAGATTCTCACCACTGGACCAATCGGCAGCATCAGGATGGATGGTGAAGAGATTGAGATTGTTCACAGCTTCAGTTTGCTTGGCTCCACAGTCAACACTCTTGACACCAGCAGGCAGGAAATTAGAAAACGTATTGCCATGGGAAAGTCTGCTGTTAGGGACCTCTCCAAAGTACTGAAGAGCAGTGGTGTCTCTTTGGAGACTAAGGTGCGTCTGATACAGGCCATGGTCTTTGCTATCACTTGTTATGCGTCAGAGAGTTGGACAATGACTAAGGAGGATAGAATTGATGCCTTTGAGCTGTGATGCTGGAGAAGAGTATTGAGGGTACCATGGACTGCTAGGAAAACAAACAGATTCATCCTGGAAAGGGTCAAACCGGGCTGCTCCTTGGAGGCAAGGATTCTAAGGCTCCATCTAACATACACTGGACATGTTGCAAGGAGGGACCGGTCCTTGGAGAGGGACATCATGCTTGGTAGGGTGGAGGGACAGCGCAGAAGGGAAAGGCCCCCTATGACATGGATTGATTCAGTGACTGGGGTAATCAGGATGGGTGTGTCAGAGACGGTGCCATCGGCACAGGACAGAGCAGAGTTTAGGGATGTTGTACATAGGGTCGCTATGAGTCGCAAGCAACTCGATGGCACATAACAACAACAACAATGTGGTCTGCAGACTCCTGTTTTAGACGAACTTTTACTTCTTTTAAATTGTTGGATAAGTATATCACAGAACAGGTGTTAGTGTTTTTCATAAGTCTGGGCCAGGAAAATACAAGGCTCAGCCTTCTATAGCTGCTTTGGCTGAGCCTCCGGCAGGTTTTCATAGACAGTTTATCGTAAAGGGAGAGATTGCCCATTTTTCTCCTCAGAGCTGTAGGCAAATTCGAAGCAGTCTGCCCCGGCCTACTTTTTTTTTTTTTCCTATCTCCCAATTGTCTGTTTGTCTTTTTTTAAAATTTATTTTAATGAAATTTACAGAGACTTTAGATTTCCATTCTTTCACTGTTGCACACTTTCCTCCCTGCCCACTCCACCCCAATTAGTTTTTCTCTTTAAAAAGTAAAAAAAAAAAAAAAAATTCTTTATTATTATTTTACTGATTTTTACCCTCTTGTCTTCTTTACAATTCCTGTTAACCCCTCCAAGCCTAATTCTGTATATAAATCTTTGTTTAGCTTTTCACAGTGATCTTGTTGTGTTGTTATGTGCCAAGTCACCTGTGACTCTTAGCAACCCTATGTACAACAGCTCTGAAGCCTGACTTGTCCTGAGCCAGTCTCACTGACTCCAATAAACCTACTCCCATTGCCCCAGTTACTGTGCCAATCCTGGGTCTTCCTCTCCTGCACTCTTCGTCCTCCCTTCCGCGCATGATGTCCTTCTCCAAGGATCGGTCCCTCCTGGCCACGTGCCCAAAGTATGTCAGACAGAGCTTCAAAATCCTAGCTTCTAAGGAGAAACTTGGTTTCACCCTCTCTTCTTGGTGGTCCATGTTATGTTCAAGACTCTTCTCCAGCACCACAACTCAAAGGCATCAATTCTTCTATCCTCCTTAGTCATCATCCAGCTCTCTGATGCATAGCAAGTAATTGTGAAGACCATGGACTGAAGCAGGTGCTCCTTAGTCTCTAGACTGACATCGTTGCTTCTCCATACTCTGGAAAGGTCCCAATTTGCCTGTGTGTGTGTGTGTGTGTGTGTGTGTGTGTGTGTATACATACATATATAGTGTGTGTGTGTACCGTCAAATCGGATCTGACTGATACAGGAGGAGATTGCCCCTCCTTCTCCAGCAGAGCCTCTGGTGGATTTCAACCGCATACCTCTGGGATTGCAGTGCAGCTTCTTGCCACTAGGCCACCAGAGCTCCCCCCAATTTGCCTTTTCCTAACTGCTGGTGTCCATGATTACTAGAAAAGCCTGTTTTTGTTGCCAGGTGTTTTTTAGTTGGTTCTAATGCACAGCGACCCTGTGTAAAAAAGTTGCTCGGCTGTTGTTGGAGCTGCCGTGTCGATCCACGAGGGTTTCCTTGATGGTTTTCCTCCTTCCCCTAATCCTCTACCAAGCGGGACACCCTTTTCTAGGGACTGGTCCCTCCTGATATATGCCCAAAGTGTGTGAGATGAGTATCACAGTTTTAGCCTTAGAACATTCTGGCACTACTTCCAAGACAGATTTATTTTTTTTGGTAATCCATGGTATATTAAATATTTTTAGCACCATAACTCAAAAACATTGATTCTTCACCCATCATCTTTATTCAGTGTCTAATTATTGTTGTTAAGTGTAATCGAGTTGAGTATGACCCACAGCAACCCTATGAACGAAAGACCTGCACCCTAAAAAAAAATCTGAACCCTGTTTTGTCCCGGGTCATCCTCACACTTCCTGACACACAAGAGCCCATTGCAGCGGTCACCGTGTCAATCCACCTGGCTGAAGGTCTTCTCTTTCACCAACCCTTCACCCTTTCCAGCATCATGTCCTTCTCCAAGGAACAGCCCCTCCTAGGAACATGCCCAAAGTCTGTGAGGCAAAAGCCACATCATTCTTGCCTCCAAAGTGTTTAATTAGCTAATCTATTTTGTTGTTGTTGTGTATCAATGAGTTGGAATCAACTCACAGCTGACCCTCCAGAGTGTTTTCAAAGGCAGTTAATCTCATGAGAGGAGACTGCCCTTCTCTCTCCCTCGGAGTAGCTAGTGAATTCGAAGTGCATGTTTTGGAATTGCAGCCCAGGCCACCAGCCTATTTATACATAACTTAAAAGTAAGATTTCAGCAATCAAAAGATACCTTTGGAGAATAAAGAAAGTTATTTGCATATATGGCCATTTGAAAAAAATTTACTACTGTTTTTAGAGAAATAATTTCTTTGCTTCTCATCTTTCCTCATCTCTAGGTTTGTTAAAATCTCTAGTTTGGCTTCCGTTTCATGGTTTCATTTTGCTCATATCAGGAAGCTTTCCCAAGAAGCAGAGTACAGACTTTTGGAACCTAGTATCTCTAGTCCTTATTACTTCAGGGTTCCAGAGCTCAGGATTCTTTTCTCTGTCTCTGTCTCTGTCTCTCTCTCTCTCTCTCTCTCTTAATTTGATTTGAAATTTCAAATGTGTACAAATTCAGAGGTTTAAGAAACTTCAAAAGCCATAAGCAAGTATTTAGGAAGCAGAAGGCTGAGAACGTCCCTGCTCACTTAATCCATGTTTGATTTTACACTCCTCACAGGTGAGCAGACAGTGCCTGTTATGCCCTGGGCCAAAACCGAACCCCCGGAGTTGGTCTTCAAAGGAATGGAATTTAGCCTGGCATGTTCGTATGTAGGATGCCTTTCCAAGTCCGAATCCCAAGATACCAGCAAGTGCAACTTTAGGCAATGATCCAAATCTTGGATTAGATGCTAAATAACCTTTATGCACCAGTCCTTACGTGACAAGCATGCTTACAAGAGAAAAAGGCAGAGCTCACTTCCAGAAACTTTCTTCTTGACATTCTCAGATAATCTTTACAATCTCTCCTCTGTGGATGTGGACTTTCGATTTTGGACAAAATAACAGGCTCTGCTTGCTTGGTGGTGGGAAATGGTGACTTTTCTCTTGGTTTTCATGGGTGGACACCGAAGCCATGGCGACCTTGGCTTTCCTTTTCTTCTGGTGGAGAGGTCTCTGCTGGCAGATCAAGGTCTGCAGGACGCGGTTCCTGCCGAGCTCACTCCCTTCAGAGCTCAGGATTCTGAGGGGAGAAGTTTTCCAGGGTAAAAGATAAGAAGATACACATGGCTCTTCCTAAGGACAGGAGGTAAAAAGTGAAGTATTTTGAAAATGACAATTATAAACAGTTTTAGGAGCTCCCCCCCCCATTAATAAGCTAGTACACCTGCTGTACAGAGGTTACTCATGGTGGCTGTGAAGCTGAACATTGTGACACTGATGTGTCAAATGCAAGAATGGTTACCCATGGTGGAAAGTGTTTGGTGGAACTCCCCGATTAAAACAAGCTTGGAAGCAGGAGTGGCATCCACTTCCAAAATAGCTTGCCTCCGGAAACCCTATAAACCTAGAGAAAGGATGAAAATTATACAAGTGTCCAGGTCTTTCATTCATAGGGTTGCTATGAGTTGTCTACGACTCGATGGCACTTAACAACAACATAAGCTAGTGGTAAGAATCTGTGCTGCAACTCTGAATGTACACAGTTCGAATCCACCAGTTGCTCTGTGGGAGAAGGATGGGCAGTCTCCTCCCATGTGATTAACAGCCTCTGATAATCCACTGGAGGGTCAGCTATGGGTTGGTTTGGACTCAACAGTATTTAACAACTCCTTAGAGGCAAGGATGCTGAAACTTTGTCTCACAAACTTTGGACATGTTGTTGTTGTTGTTACATGCTATCGAGTCACTTGTGACTCATAACAACCCTAGGTACAAAAGCCCTAAATCCTGCTCTATCCTGTACCAACCTTATTGTCTCTGACACATCTACCCCCATTGCCCCAG